AATAAATTATAGTTGGTGCATCTTGTTTTTATTGTCACTTCACAATAACTGCATACTTTCCTAGAAAAAAAATACATGCATTAAATATATGTATATGCATACATATTTAATGAAACTTAGATGGAAGTTTTTCATAAGTTTGACTCAAATATTAAAACAGTTCATAAAATTAAAACATAACACATTTGTTTAAGATGAAAATTTCCTGATAATTGACTGGAAATTGCTGCTTATTTAATTGATTTATACGTATTCCATTGACTTATGTCCTCTCTGTGTTGTTTTGCACTTTTTTATTTTTGTTCTATTTTCAAGTGTAACTGTGATCCTGGTTGAAATACTTGCAAATGCCCAGTGTAGAGGCTGTCCTTCAATATTGGGGAATAAATTAATGGCTCACACAACATAAATGAGTAATTAGAAATATTCACCTTATTTGCAGTTTGGATTATGCTTAAATAAACTAGTAACTCCTTATTTAAAATATTTCTTTTTTCGCCCTTTCCCCAACCGTCCTGTAGCTTAGAACAGACTAGAAAGTCTTCTAAATCAGAGAACAACCATGGACCATATGCCCAAAATGTCATGTATGATGCTTTTGAATGACATCTCATAAACTAATCTAAGATAAAATATTCAAGTAGAAAATTGCCCTTGGTCTGGTGTGGGGGCTAATCTTGTAATCCCAGCACTTTGAGAGGCACAGGTGAGAGGACTGCTTGAGCTCAAGGGTCTGAGACCAGCCTGGGTAACTTGGTGAGACGTCATCTCTACAATAAATTAAAAATTAGCTGGGCCTGGCGGCACGCGCCTGTACTTTCAGCTACTTGAAAGGCTGAGGACAAAGGATCTTCTTAACCCAGCAGGTCGAGGCTGTCATGGCTGTGAGTATGCCACTGCACTCCAGTGGGCCACAGAATGAGTCTCCAACTCAAAAAGAAAGACAGAAAGAAAGAAAGAAAGAAAGAAAGAAAGAAAGAAAGAAAGAAAGAAAGAAAGAAAGAAAGAAAGAAAGAAAGAAAAATAAAGAGAAAGTTGTCCTCTTGTACCCGAGAGGACTACTTTCCCTATACCATCTTTATCTGTACCCTATTCCTTTTTCTTAATGCTTTTAGCAAATGTTCCACCAGTGGTATAGGCATGTTATCGACACAAAAAATAAAACATTTAATTCCGAATTGAAGAATTGCTAAAAGTTTCATGGTTAACCTAACAATAAAACTGAGTCTTAATAACAATATGGTAAGAAAATGAAAAGTCTGGTAGGGTAGATATTAAGAGACAGTCCAGAGATATGAGAAAACATAAATGACAAGTAATGGTGTTTGGAATATAAGGCATATATTAGGGAGATACGGGAGGCAGTAAAATATTGAGAATGTAAACCTTATAGATGGACAAAAATAAGTTTCTCCCACAAAAACTTAGAAATAAGTTGTGAGAATTTTAAAGTTGTGACAAATGGAAAATTTCAGAGATACTCAAAATGACTTTAAAAGACAAGAACTTTCAGACCATCAAGACTTCATTTTCATCTGATTGAGGGAACTAATTAAGTACCTGATATGTATTCAGCACTAAGTGGTTTATAAATGATATGTTATTACATTATTACCACAGATGAGGAATCTGAGGCTTAGGGCAAAGTTAGTATTTGAAAGAAGATCTCTGTGATTCTGTAACTCACACTGTTAACCACTACTTTAAACTACTTCTCTCAGTGTATTAACTGGAGAAAAAATGTTGGGTTTTATTCATCTTTAGGGGGGGAAAGTACAGAAACATGAGAAGGTATCACCAGCAGTCATTTGCGCAGTAGCCAAGCAGTTACATGTTTATCATTAACAATTGCTGGTCTCCAGGCTGAGTGAATTAATTTGCTATTATCTAAAGAAAGAATGTGAAACTCCTGTCACATAAAAACAAGATGCCATTTATTACTTTTAGCAAGAAAATCCAGGTAAAAACTGGAGTATCATATTCATTTGTCACAAATACAGTGACCTTGACAAATCATTAATGTGTTAAATTAGTGGAAAAATAGAAATTAAATGCTTCCAATGAACCAATACCTATACTAGATATTCTTTTCTCCCGCCAGTGTTTTGCCATCATTAGTTTCTAATCACTACCTTCATAGTACTGTTGCCATCTCATCATTTCCTTGAGAGCTAGGATTACTTCCGTAGTTTGTTAACAAAATGCTTTGCTTCTATTTCGACCCCTAAAATTATATTCTTCACACATCAGCCAATTGGATCTCCTTAAAGCATAACATTCACTTGGCTCAAGCCCTATAATAATTGTCCAGTTCTTTCAGAATAAATGTCAAAATCCTTACCGTGAACTACAAAGTTGTAAACAATCTGTCCAAAACTGCTTCTTTGACTTAATTTCACATACTTCTTTTCATCATTTGCTGTGCTCCAATCACATTAGTATTTTTCTTGCTATTTCTTGAACACAGCAAATGCATCAGTAATGGGAAGTGAATGCTGTCAAGTATAAGAAATTTAAATAACTTTGAGGGAGTACCCTGAACCAAGAATAAAGGGGATTGAGATATATCTGAATGCCTTAGGCTATCTTAGATAGATGTTAGTAAACAATAAACCTGCAAGAGATAGCATTTATTCTCTCTCAAAAAGAAATATCTACACACACACACACAAACACACACACACAAGACTTAGAATATTTATAAAAATTTTTGACACGTTTGGAAACAAAATAGATAAGTGCCTAGAGTTTTGTTTTGTTTTAGTGGGATAAAAGAGACAAATAAACATGTAATTCATCAGAAGGCATACAAGAGGGAACCTTCAAAAATGGAATTTATTTATTAAAAATTTTTGTATTTATTCTTACATGCTTAAACTTCAGTAAGCTTCAAAGTACTCCCTGTTTGATGCAATACATCTACCAAGATGCTTTTTTTCCCTTGCTCACAACAGTTTCTGAACTCATTAATTTTGATGGTTTTTAGTGCTTCTGCCATTTTTTTGTTTCACCTCTACCACATTGGCAAAATGTTTCCCTCTGAGGACTTTTTCATCTGGGGAAACAAAACAAAAATGTTACTAGAGTGAGACAGGGTGAATACTGAGGTTGGAGCATGGAGATTATGAAGTTTTTGGTCAAAAACTGCCGAACACTCTGCGTGGTGAGTGGGTGCATTGTTATCGTGGAAGAACCAGTCACCTGTTTGCCACAACTCAGGATGTTTCTTCTGCAAATCGTAATACAACCATCTCAAAACTTCCAGATAAAAACTTTGGTTGACTGTTTGATGCAGAGGAACAAATTCTGAGTGTACTATAAAGGGACTTCCCTCCAAAAGATAATCTCGTTTTGGGGGGAAGAGTCTAAGAAATAATGTGGAAGACGATTATGGATTAGGAATAGATATTTTACACAAAGTAGTAAAAGAGGGCCTTATGAATAAAATGACATGGGAGGTTAAACCAGAACTGAGAATGTGAGAGATAGGACTCCACAAGAATTAATTTTCCAGGCTGATTTAACAACACATGTACAGATCCTAAAGTAGGTGCATGATTAATATGCTCAAGCCAGATCAATTAAAGTAATGGGGTTAAAGAACAAAGGGGAGAAGACGAAGCATAGGAAATGAATTCTGCAAATTAGCAGGGGTGACATCACATAGGCACTCCCTTTATTCTAAGTAAAGGGAGGGAATACTTAGAGATTTTAAATAGAGGCATGTAGTAATTTGAACTATCTTTTAAACAGATTTTTTGCTTGGATACAATTTAAGTATAGATTGCACGGAGTCAAGAACAGAATCAACAAGAATTAGCATCATAGCAAAAAGAACTATTGCAAAAATATGTAAGGGAAATGATGGTGGCGTAGATCAGGATAGTGACACTGTGGGGTGAGAAATGTTAGATCTTGATTCTGAAAGCATTGGCAACAGCATATGCTTGATGGGTGGATGTGAAATGTAAGATAAAGAGATGAGTCAAGAAAGACTCTACATTTTTTTTTCCTTAGCGTCTAGAAAAATGGAGTTTCACTTATTGCAATGGAGAAGAAATGCCAGGCTGAGAATTGACCATTACATAAACTTTTAAGGTTGCTTAAGCCATAGTCTATATAAAAGTTGGTGTCATGAAAATTAAAGGTGATCTGTGTGTTAATTGTATGGATTAGCAACAGAGGTGCTGATCAGGTGAGGCACTGGGTGAGAGATGAGATGGAGAAGTTGGTGGGGACTTGTGGATAGAGGACATTTTATGCTACATTGCATTGAGGAACCTGGATTTTTTTTTATTTTTCTTTTATGGTAGGCTGCTATTTAAGGACTTTAGCAAAGAAAATGCATCGTCAGTTTTTCATTTCAGAAAATACCCATTACCTTTGGGAATTAGGGTATTTCAAATGGCAATTGTGGTAGCTTTAGTAGCAACAGAAACAATATCCAAAAGACAATAAGTTAAATAATCAATGATGGATGAATTTTAAATCATCAAACATAAAATGTGTCCTTTTTGAAAAACAGCACATTTTTGCATCACTAAATATGTGTATGTACAAATATGTGTGGATGTACAAAGACATGTCTAAGCATATACACATGTAAATGCATGCCAGAAAAACACTGTAATATTGTATGAACACAATGCTGTACTGGAATTCCAGTAAGGATACTCACTTTTTATTCACATTTGCTGCCTACTTACTATGGTAAATTTAGTCAATTAGTTAGCCTTGGTTTCTACAGCTTAAAACAAGATAATTAAACTTGATGATAGTCTTAAATTTCTACAATTTCTACCAGTCTATGAATGCTACTGCCTTGGATTGGATTTATGACTTTTATTATACATGTGCACTGGTCATACTTTCACATCTTGTTTTCCCAGTAAGATACATTTTGCTGCTATGGTATGTATTTGATGCATTGACTATTGAGAGTAGAAGTGGAACCTAGTTATGATATTTTTCTAATCATATTTTTTAATCTTTAATTTTAGCCTTGGGTCAACTGTGCAGTTCTCTTGTGATGAAGATTATGTCCTGCAGGGTGCAAAGAGCATCACCTGTCAACGGATAGCTGAAGTTTTTGCTGCTTGGAGTGATCACAGACCTGTGTGTAAAGGTAAAGAAAAGTTTTATAATAAAAATGCTCTCTGAAGATATTTTAATTATTTGAACTTTTTTATAGAGTATAAATTGCAATTATGTCTGAGTTGTGATGCAATCCTTAAAAGATATTGAACTCATGTATTGAATGATATTTATTGAAAATCTTTAATGTGTGACCCACTGTGTTAGGTTCCGAAGGAATTTCCAATCTAATAAACATAAGACAATAGATTGAAGCATAAAATATGTAATATAAGGCACTGGAAACTTTTTTGACTTTTTTTAAAAATTCACAATTATCCTGTCTGTATAAGCATTGATATGGAATTTTTTTTTAGACTAGAAAATATAGTTTATTGAGAAAATAAATTAGAGAGAGAGAGAGAGATTGAGATTGAGTCACCTTTCAAAGGAAGGAGAGAGGGTCAAATCTTAGGAAACATGGCAGCATCCATACCTTAAAGAGCACATGACCATACCAGAGTCTAGTAAAGCCATGGTGACTGACTGCTCGTAGTTAAATCCTTTTAATCGTTTCCGTTGATGTGAATGTTTTAACCATAGTTACTCCTTCATTTGTAGGATTTGCAATTTTAATTACTTATATGTCCAATTGTAGTGATGTTGGTAACAGTGAAGGTGGATTATAGGTTATATAGTTAGTGAATTTAAACTAAGACAAACCAATAAGTTTTACATATTTTTACATATTATATCAGTAATTACAGATAACATATGTGTGTGTACTATATATATTATATATTTATAATTACAGCTAAGATGTGTGTGTGTGAGTGTGTGAGTGTGTGTGTGTGTGTGTGTGTGTGTGTGTGTCTAAGGTATTTTGAATATATTTGGATTTGGTATTGCCAATAGAACCAGAGCCTCATTATTGTTATTTGTTTCTAATCATATAACATATGCATGTGTGTATATATGTATGTATGTGTGTGTATGTGTGTGTGTATGAATATATATATATTTTATATGCACACACACATATATATATTCCAGTTTTAGGGGGGCTTCTCCTTCTTATATGTATGCAAATATATATAAGAAGGAGATACCCCCCTAAAGCTAGAATTATCTTTTGGAGGGTGGGCCCCTTGTTGTACAGGCGTCTCTCTTAGGTAAGTGTTCTAGGAACACATCGACATCAGTATCAGCTCGCGTTGTTGTGAAAGGCACGCCCATTTCATAACGGGTGATTTAGGAGCACACCTGCCCACACCACGCTGAATGTTCAGCAGTTTTTTACCCCAAACTGCATGGCTCGCTCCCTGATCCACTTTCTTTTGGTTTGTTTCCTTGGATGAAAATTTCTCAGAGGGAAACATTTTCCCAATGTAGAAGAGGTGAAATAAAAAAAACAGCAGAAGCAGTAAAAGGCATCAAAATTGACAAATTTGAAAACTGTTTTGAGCAATGGAAAAAGCATCTCAGCAGATGTATTGCACCCAATGGAGAGTACTTTGAAGGTGACTGAAGTTTAAGTGTATAAGAATAAATACAGAATTTTTAAAATAAATAAATCTGGTTTTTCCAGGGTTCCCCTCTGTATATCTTACTTGCAATTACTGATTATATATATATATATATATATATATATATATATAT